ACTCCCACTATATATATATATATATATATATATATGGGAAAGTATGGGTTTAGCCCGCTTGCGCACCCCGTTGGGTACGCCTAACGGTTATGATGAAGAGTTCAAAAAGCGACGGTTTGGATCGTAACCCAAGCGGTCGACCTTTTTCCTAAAAAAAGAGTGCCTTTTTTAAAAAACGCTGACCAACAGAACGTTGTAGTGACGTATACCGTAGCATTTCTGACACTCTGCCTCTCTCTCTCTCTCTCTCTTGGGATTTTCTCTCTCTCCTGGGTCTCTCTCCATTCTTCCTTCTTCCCAAAAAAACTGGACGCTCTCTCTCTCTCTATCTGCCTCTCCCTCTCTCTGCCTCTCGATCTCGCAAAAAGGGTAAAGCTCTCTCAGGGAAACGCGCTTTCAGAAAACCTCTCGTGCTCTCAAGGAAAAGCTCGCTGCTCTCTCAGAAAACCTCTCGCTCTCTCAGGGAAACGCTCTCTCAGAAAACTTCTAGTGCTCTCAGGGAAAAGAGCGCTGCTTTTTCAAAAACGCTCGTTGAGATCTGTGAAGGTACTCTCTCTCTCCCTGTATTTGTCTGAGATTTGTAGAATGTTGTAAAACCCCCATTGCTCCAATGGAGCTCTAACCGACCACAGAGCCCTAATTTTCCCACCTCTTCCTTGTCTCTCTGAACATGAGCACCTCTGAAACAGATGATTGAGAGCAATCATCTCACTATGAAAGGTTTTTCTAATAGGTTATTTTAGTGTGAAATCACCTCTGATTTTTCTCAAAATAGGTTATTTTAGTGTGTTGTAGGTTTTTGTTGAAGAATAGGTTTTTGCTCAAGAATAAGTTTTTGCTAAGAATATTTATTTGTAATTGATACTTGTGCTAATTTTTCTCAAAATAGGTTTTTGTTCAGGAATAGGTTTTTGCCCAGAATATTGGTTTGTTAATTGATATTTATGCCGATTTTTGGTAAGAATATTCTTATTTTTCTCATAATAAGTTTGTTAATTAAACTTACCCAACTTATTGAACCTCCAAATATCAGAATAAATATCAATTAACAAACAAATAAGAGCAAAAACCTATTCTGAGAAAAATCAGCATAAATATCAATTGACAAACATATATTCTGAGCAAAAACCTATTCTTGAACAAAAACCTGTTCTGAGAAAAAAACCTATTCTGAGCAAAAAAACCTATCCTTTAACAAACAAATATTCTGAGCAAAATCCTATTTTGAGCAAAAAATTATTATTGAACCTCCAAAAATCAGCATAAATATCAATTAACAAAAAAATAAGAGCAAAAACCTATTCTGAGAAAATCAGCATAATATCAAGTAACAAACAAATATTCTAAGCAACAAACTATTACTGAACAAAAACCTATTCTAAGAAAAATCAACATAAATATCAATTAACAAACAAATATTCTGAGCAAAAACCTATTCTTGAACAAAAACCTACATTACACTAAAATAACCTATTCTGAAAAAAATCAGAGGTGATTTCACACTAAAGTAACCTATTAGAAAAATCTTTCATAGTGAGATGATTGCTCACAATCTTCTGTTTCAGAGGTGCCCATGTTTCAGAGAGACAAGGAAGAGGTGGGAAAATTAGGGCTCTATGGTTGGTTAGAGCTCCATTGGCGCGATGGGGGTTTTGCAACATTCTACAAATCTCAGACAAATACAGGGAAAGAGAGTATCTTTATAGATTTCAGCGAGCTTTTCTGAGAGAGCAGCGAACTTTACCCAGAGAACGCGAGAGGTTTTCTGAGAGCGTGTTTCCCTGAGAGAGCAAGAGGTTTTCTGAGAGAGCAACGAGCTTTTCCCTGAGAGAGCGAGAGGTTTTCTGAGAGCGTGTTTCCTTGAGAGAGCTTTACCCTTTTTACGAGAGCGAGAGGCAGAGAGAGAGAGCGTCAGGGTTGTTTTGGGAAGAACGAAGAATGGAGAGAGACCCAGGAGAGAGAGAGAAAATCCCAAGAGCAAGAGAGAGCGAGAGGCAGAGTGTTAAAAATGCTACGGTACGCGTCAGTACAGAGTCCTGTTGGTCAGCCTTTTTTAAAAAAGGCACTCTTTTTTTAAGAAAAAGGTCGACCTCTTGGGGTTCGATCCAAACCGTCGCTTTTTTATCTCTTCATCTCATAAACGTTAGGGCGGTACCCCAACCGGGTACGGCGCGACGCGGACTAACCCACTACTTCCTACTATATATATATATATATATATAGATGGGTGAGGTTTGTATAGAGCCTAGGCTCTAAACAATCAAATAGTGTCGAGAAATATGGTTTCAATACTGGAAATCTTTGTGATAGCCTTAAAATATATTTTCATCTTTATTTATAAAGTTTAAAGCTTCAAAACTAGTGTAGATCAACAGATCTATGAAAACTTGAAAATTGACGGTCCAAAAATGTGTTACAAAATACACTATTTTCAAAACTTGAAATCTATTTTTTCTCATGTCCATACATCTTGATGTCAAGATGATCAATTTTAAGATATTTGAGCATCAAAACAACCTCTTCTAGTGAAATTTTGTGGTAGGCTCCAATTTGATTGTTTAGAGCTTGGCTCTATATAAACGTTTCCCTATATATATAGGGAGTGATTAAAAGAAAAGATATTGGAGGAGTCAAATGAGCAGACTGCCCGATTCGGCAGGTTTGACCCAAATTTATGGCGGCCGGTTTAACCCACCGATCCAATTTTTATAAAACGCTGATTAGAAACAAACAATATACTTGAAAACAAATTATTAAAATATTATTGAAATATTTGGGTAAAACATTTACATATTAATTTATTAGACCATTTAAACTTAAGTGAAGTGATTTTATGAAAGAATATTTCGAATAGGACAATTCATGAAACAATAAAACAATTCCATTGCACACTCTGCAATATCCAATAGTTAATATATCATGCACCATTCATCATATGTCATACTAGTATTTGTGCATTCATATTCATTCACATCCCCTTTAAACATTGTTTTTAGCACATATTTTCAATCTTTACTTGAGTATTTTAGTTGAGTAATCGCTTTTTTCCTGCTTGGACATATTACATAAATTGCAAGTAGGAACAATTCTCCCAAAAACAAAACATTCAGTTGTCCTACCCATTCATTACGCTTTCCCTGGCATGAACAGAAAAAGAAATATGCAATCCACAGATTGCTCATCAAGTGAAAGAATGAAATGTGGAATGCATACCGAAATGGGCCCCTTCACTTTAGATATTTCTTCACACAATTGTGACTTCTTGATAAGCAATGGCAACTGCAAAAGTGGCCAATATTAGCCAACAATCATAAAAGATTATAACCACTTTTCATGTATGCAGTAAATCAATTTCTTCAAATCATGAGTCTCAAGTTTAAAACCTACCAAAGACAATACATGAATAAATGCAGTATTCGTTCTAGGCAAGAATTGGGTCTCAATCAAGAAAACTGTAACAATGGGTGAATTTAAACACACAAAACTGCGTAACCCATTTGATACCATAACCTGGATTGCACTGGATAAACTATGGTATTCAAGAGTCAATACTAAGTTCCTTTTATCAAAAAAGAAAAAATTTAGTAAAAGAGAATACACCACATCCTGCATTTTCTAAGAGCAAAATTAAACCATATTTTCAAAGAAATCTCAAATTAAATGAAGTGATATAACTGCCACTCAAACTCATGCACAATATAACATCATACCCTTGAAAGAGGAAACCAAATTGTCAATATAATAAAGCAAAACAGTAAAGGCATAAATGAAAATACAACAGAATATATAGCTTTCATGGTTCAGAGACGTATCAATGTTCAGAAGAATGACATAGAGATGTTAACAAGAACCTAAGAACGCAAAGAAAGAGAACCTGCAAATGAACAAACATGTTCCAGACCAAGTTAACTGATAGTTCCTTCTCCCCATTCATAACATCTTCGACAATGATGCTATATCCTTCATCATCACATAATGGCACCCCAGCTTGCTTGAGATATTGAAGAGCAATACCGCAGTTAAGCATCTTCTTCTTACGGTTATCGCAAGGAACTACTACTTTCTGCCAAGAACAAAAGCCAATAAATTAACTGACAAATAGAAATCAAAATGTCTCCAAGTATGACCTAAATGAAGACAAATATGAGGAAACAACCATATCTTCAGTGGCATCCAGTATTAAGAAGCAAACCATGAGAATGGAAGCATCAGACAACATGAGATGGATCGCTCTACAAAGCCGCACACCATCTCGAAGATCTTCAACCAAGTCAGATACCATGAAATCATATTCAGCAAGCGCAAGCTGCAAAAGTGAAAGAATTAGAAGCATAACCAATCATGTGAAGAGCATTTCCTGAAGCATTCAGCAAAATAATGTATTTTAGTATGAAGCAAAAGTAAAATACAGTCATGAAATCCATTTCAAGAAACCACAAACGATTAAGAAAAATGTGCACTGTTTAATGCAAATGGTATGAAATCAAAATTGAATGGATCATGAACATCCCAAAAGAAAATAAGAGCACTTTCCCAGAAACCTGCTGGTAAGACACTTTGTACCCTAAAACTGTCAAGTGTCCAAGTAGATCGCCTTCACCACGCATGGCATCCGATAAAAATTCTGAAGTATCAGATGGTACAAATATCAGGAAATAATTAGTTCCATTTTATAGCAGAATGACAAGTAAATCCTGCAAAAATACTAACCAATAATTACTTGTCTACTTGATTTTATGAGTGAATCGTGGCAGAATAACAAAGGAGAGCCACCATCAAGACTGTCAATCCCATATCTAGCAGGAAGAGCAGTCTGACATTTGACTTTATCGAGAACAAGAACAAACAGCAAGAATCTCTTCAGAACAATATTTCCTAGGGCTTCAAAATAACCAGGCCTGTAATTACCCTCAACTGACCTGCAAAACAGAAAGTTATAAGAAAACATTCTCGTTCAATTTGAGAAGATCAAACCCACGTTACAGCAAGTTAAAGGCAACTCAACTTGTTGTAGGCATAAGCTTTTGAAAGAGCAGTGTGTGAGAAGAACTGTCTCATGACAAGCATCTTTAAGAAAAGCTTTTCTTGATCAGGATAATCATCTCTTTTCTCCACCATTGATTGTCCAGGAAGAATGGAATCCCCACCAAAAACAATATGTAACCCAATACGAAGCCAAGTTGGATCGTAGTTCAGAAGGATTTGGGTTGCCTTTTCCCTCAATGCCACATCAGTCACTATTGGGCAATCATCTTTCATCTTTAACCGCCCATCATCTATGCTCTGCATTACAAGGTAAACTTCAATTGGAATTACTAAGAACATTGTTCCTGCATGGCAGTAACAACTACAAATGCACATACAATTTATACAAGCATATTTTCTTACATACTCATGCAAAAATGTGTATGATGTGTATATCTCTGGCGGGGGTGGGTGTGTGTGTGTGTGTGTGTGTGTAATATAATGAGGCAATATATTGGAGATTGAGAAGTATTTTCAGGCTGGGTGTTAAAGGCAACCTAAAAAAGGAGAAGCTGATAAACTTTGAAAACAGGGATTTCAAAGAAGCTCCAAAGGATTTGAAACATAAAATTTGTCACTTTCAGTGATCCACTCCCTTGGTGGTTAAGCAGATTCAAATCATAAACCATAGACATCAGGCTCCAATGTCTCAATCGCCATTGAGAATATAACGAGGCGATATATTGGAGATTGAGAAGTATTTTCACGCTGGGTGTTAAAGGCAAACTAGAAAAGGAGAAGCCGATAAACATTGAAAACAGGGATTTCAAAGAAACTCCAAATGATTTAAAACATAAAATTTGTCACTAAATTCAGCGATCCACTTCCTTGGTGGTTAAGCAGGTTCAAATCCTAACCATAGACATCAGGCTCCAATGTCTCAATCACCAGACCAAGAGTTCATCTATTACGGATTTATAGCATCTCTAGTCTGTGGTGCATCAATTAAGGAACTTCCTGACAACTATGAATAAATTATGACAATCAATACAATGCTAGAATGCAAAAAGAGTACATTTTAGGTGATTGGTTGGCAAAAGACCAATTATAAACCCCTGAGATGAGCAGAGGAGACAATGCAAGAGAGACAGAGATGTCAAAATAAATGTGTTCATCAATTCGAAGGCAAAAATGCTTCCACACAACGAATGCTTCTTAAGCATGGAGTAAATTATATATTTTATTTTTCTTTCAAAATAAAACATCCACCAAATAATTGAACATTCCTCCATGTTAAAAAAAGGAACTACCAAATAGAACAATTAAATGAAAACAGGTACTAAACACACTCACAAAATAAAAATATCAAAACCCACAAAATTTTATTGAAGTAAAAACCACAAAACCAAATTATACCT